CAGTTGTATCTGCTGAACGTGGCCATCTCTAATTGAGGATGATCGCATTTATTATCAATAATATTATATACATTTCCCAAGATTGTAAATCTCGAAAAAACGTTTCACGTTGTCATACGCAACAAGCGCACAACGCAATGTGAACGTGCCTCTCGTCTTTCATCTTGTCCAGCCGGCTTGATGGAAAGGAGACGGAACATAATACGTCTGCACTCTTTCACGAGCCGAAGTGCCGAGCGTGACGTCACGCACACAGACGGCGGTTCTCGCTTGTGTGCGTGCTCCCAGTGGCTCCCACCACCTCGGTGCTCTTGGTGCTAGCGGGTCAGAGTTTGCACCTCTGGCTACCAAGCGGCCGGAATCTGGCATCCCTGGCTCCCACTCCTGGGCGCTGGCCGGTCAAATCTTTCATTAATGTTCTGTTAATGTTCCCTGGTCGAAACGTCAATGGTGACGAGGAAGGAATTGGAACGAGTGCGAATCGCAAGTAAATTGTACGAGATTTTTTCGACCGAACGACTGTTTTTGTGTAATCAACTGTACCGCTGATCGTTTATACCAAGGTCCGTCGAGTCTTGCATGCGAATTATTTACCGATCCCGATAATCTCGACGTCAAACTGACTGCCACACCCTGTTGTAGCCATTTTGAATAGGACAGTCCGTGAACTCTGTCTCGACGATCGATTCAACCATGGATCAGATTACGCCCAAAGAAGTGAAGATCCTGGAGAATCCGGAGGATATTCAGGAGAGACGAGAGCAAGTTTTGGGACGATACGCCAACTTCAAGGCGGAGGCGCGTAACAAGCGGGACAAGCTCGAGGACTCCCGTCGCTTTCAGGTGGCGTTGACATTCTAACCCAGATAGCCAAACGTGAAAACTTAATATTATAAGTTGTCAGCAATACAACAGCAGGGGGTATCCTCTTTTCAGTATGTTTTTTCCAGCAACAGTTTTTAAAAATATAATAACAGCAAGTTCCCAACAACTTATCGGCAATAACTTTATATTCACTTTTATCAACTTATGAATGGAAATCATTGCTCACATATTGCTGACTTATTGCCATAAACATTGGCTACAACAAGTGTTTTATGGTTGCAATATGAAGCAAATCATTATATAGATTAGTTGCTCGCCAATTGCTGTTATGTTGATTTTATTTAATGCAACGAAAATGTAGTTGTCACTCTAGTATCAACATGCTGAGTTTTATTGTCGNGCAACCGTAAAACACTTGTTGTAGCCAATGTTTATGGCAATAAGTCAGCAATATGTGAGCAATGATTTCCATTCATAAGTTAAATATAAAGTTATTGCCGATAAGTTTTTGGGAACTTGCTGTTATTATATTTTTGAAAACTGTTGCTAGAAAAAACATGCTGAAAAGAGGATACCCCCTGCTGTTGTATTGCTGACAACGTATAATATATTTGTGGCAAATTGCCAATAACTTGCACACAGTTGGCTATCTGGGAATTTTCTTGTTATTGTATCATTACGCGGATAATATCACACTTCACCTTATATATTTACAGTTTCTTGTTTTTTATTATCTCTTCGCTCGTCTCTTTCTTTTTTCTAGTATTTTAAGCGAGATGCGGACGAACTCGAAGGATGGATCTACGAGAAGCTCCAGGCTGCCTCGGACGAGAGCTACAAAGATCCGACCAATCTACAGGCGAAGATTCAAAAGCACCAGGCGTTTGAAGCTGAAGTAGCTGCTCATTCAAATGCTATCGTGCAATTGGACAACACGGGATCCGAAATGATAGCGCAGCATCATTTTGCGAGCGATGTGATTCGCAAGAGATTAGGTAAATTTCTATGCTAAGAATATTAACTTTTAATTTACAAAAGAAAATGTAAGTTTTAAATTAGATTTTACAAAATTAATGCAATTGCAGAGGAATTGCATCGTCTGTGGGAGTTGCTGCTATCCCGATTAGCTGACAAAGGTCTGAAGTTACAACAGGCCTTGGTTCTCGTACAGTTCATTCGCCACTGCGACGAGGTAATGTTCTGGATTCACGACAAGGAGGCGTTCGTAACAACCGATGAATTTGGACACGACTTGGAACACGTGGAGGTGCTCCAAAGAAAATTTGATGAGTTTCAAAAAGACATGGCCAGTCAAGAGTACAGAGTCACGGAAGTGAATGAACTGGCGGACAAGCTGCTTTTGGACGGTCATCCCGAACGCGACACCATTCTGCGTAGAAAGGAAGAACTCAACGAGTCTTGGCAGAGACTGAAACAACTGGCCACGTTGCGACAAGAGAAACTGTTTGGCGCGCACGAGATTCAGAGATTCAATCGCGACGCCGACGAGACCATGGCCTGGATCGCGGAGAAAGACGTGGTTTTGTCTTCTGACGATTTCGGACGGGATCTTGCCAGCGTTCAAACCTTACAACGCAAGCACGAGGGTATCGAACGTGATTTGGCCGCTCTGGAGGATAAGGTCTATACATTGGGCACGGAAGCCGATCGTCTTGCCTCGATTCACGAAGCGGATCATTCCAAACAAATTCAATCTAAACGCGCCGAGATCTTACAGTCGTGGGAGAGCCTTACCGCGAAAGCGAAAGAACGTCGTCTAAAACTCGACGAGTCGTATTATCTTCATCGATTTTTGGCCGATTATCGCGATTTGGTGTCATGGATGAACGATATGCGCGCTATAATTTCCGCGGACGAGCTGGCGAAAGACGTAGCCGGCGCCGAAGCTTTGGTCGACAGACATCAAGAACACAAGGGAGAGATCGATGCCAGAGCCGATAGCTTCGACGCAACCACACTGGCCGGCAATAAGCTTCTCGAGAAGAAACATTACGCTTCCGAGGAAGTGGCCCGTAAATTGAACTCTCTTGCTGAGGACAAGTCGTCTCTCTTGAGTCTGTGGGAGAAGAGACGCATCTTGTACGAACAATGCGTGGATTTGCAGCTGTTCTATCGAGATACCGAGCAGGCGGACGCGTCGATGGCCAAACAGGAAGCGTTTCTCGCGAACGAGGATTTGGGAGATTCTCTCGATAGCGTCGAGGCGCTGATCAAAAAACACGAAGACTTCGACAAATCGCTTGCGGCTCAAGAGGAAAAGATCAAAGTGCTCGACGATTTTGCCGGAAAGTTGATCGAAGGTGAGCACTACGCCGCGGACGACGTTGCGCAACGACGACAGTTGTTGTTGGAACGAAGAGCTATTCTTCTGGAAAAATCGGCGCAGAGACGACGTCGTCTGGAAGACGCGTACAAGTTGCAACAATTCGAGAGAGACTGCGACGAGACGAAGGGCTGGGTAAACGAGAAGCTCAAGTTCGCAACCGACGATAGCTACCTGGATCCCACGAATCTGAACGGCAAAGTGCAGAAACATCAGAATTTCGAGCAGGAACTGAACGCGAACAAGACGCGCATGGAGGAGATGGTAGCAACCGGTCAGGAATTGATTGAGAGCGGTCACTATGCTAGCGATCGCATACGTACTCGCATCGAAGAGATCGTGACGCTGTGGGAGAGTCTGGCGCACGCGACCGAGAAGAAAGGTGCGAAGTTGCAAGAAGCTTCGCAGCAGCAACAATTCAACCGAACGATCGAGGACATCGAACTTTGGCTCTCGGAAGTCGAGGGGCAACTTATGTCGGAGGATTACGGCAAGGATCTGACCAGCGTTCAGAATCTACAGAAGAAACACGCGCTTCTTGAAGCCGACGTAGGTTCTCACGCTGACAGAATTGACAGTATTACTCAGGCGGCCGAACAGTTCGTCAAATCGGGTCATTTCGACGCCGACAACATCAAATCCAAGCAAGATCAATTGCAAGCCAGATACGCCGCTCTGCAACGTCCTATGAGCTTGAGAAAGCAACGACTTCTCGATTCCCTTCAGGTGCAACAGCTGTTTAGAGATATTGAGGACGAAGAAGCTTGGATTCGCGAGAAAGAACCGGTTGCGGCGTCCACCAATCGCGGACGCGATCTGATCGGTGTGCAGAATCTTCAGAAGAAGCACCAGGCCGTTTTGGCTGAGATCAACAATCACGAGCCTAGAGTGGCCGCGGTTTGTCAAGCGGGTTCGACCATGTTGCAAGAAGGACACTTTGCCGCCGAGGAAATTAGTCAACGACTGGCGGCTTTGGACGAACATTGGGGACAGTTGAAGGACAAGGCTCGTCAACGAAAGACCGACTTGGACGATTCGTTGCAGGCGCATCAATACTTTGCTGACGCGAACGAAGCTGAATCTTGGATGAAGGAAAAACGTCCAATAGTGATGAATGCCGATTACGGCAAAGACGAGGATAGTTCTGAAGCTCTCTTGAAGAAACACGAAGCTTTAGTGAGCGATTTGGAGGCATTTGCTAGCACGATTGCAGCCCTGAAAGACCAAGCTGCATCGTGCAGACAGCAAGAGACGCCTACCGTTGACATCACCGGTAAGGAGTGTGTTGTTGCTCTTTACGATTATACCGAGAAGTCTCCCAGAGAAGTATCCATGAAGAAAGGCGACACTCTGACCCTTCTCAATTCCAACAACAAGGATTGGTGGAAGGTCGAAGTAAACGATCGTCAGGGATTTGTTCCAGCAGCGTACGTGAAGCGCGTGGAACCCGAGGCAGGTCTCAGCGCGTCCCAACAGAATTTGGCCAGGGAACAGAGCTCGATTGCTGCGCGACAAGCGCAGATTGAGGCGCAGTACGATGATCTTTTGCGTCTAGCGCGCGAACGTCAAAATAAGCTCAACGAAACGGCCAAGGCTTACGTGTTGGTGAGAGAAGCCGCTGAATTAGCCACCTGGATCAAAGACAAAGAGAATCACGCCCAGGTGCAAGACGTAGGCGAGGATCTGGAACAGGTGGAGGTCATGCAAAAGAAGTTCGACGATTTCCAAGCTGATCTCAAAGCGAACGAGGTGCGTTTAGCTGAGATGAACGAGATTGCCGTACAATTGATGAGTCTTGGACAGACCGAAGCGGCGTTGAAGATTCAGACGCAGATTCAGGATCTAAACGAGAAGTGGACCAGTCTGCAGACACTCACGGCAGAACGCGCCAATCAGCTTGGTTCCGCTCACGAGGTGCAACGATTCCATCGCGACGTCGACGAGACGAAGGATTGGATACGCGAAAAGGACGCGGCGCTGAACAACGACGATCTGGGCAAGGATTTGCGCAGCGTTCAAGCGCTGCAGCGCAAGCACGAAGGTTTGGAGAGAGATTTGGCGGCTCTCGGGGACAAGATCAAACAGCTCGACGAGACCGCCAATCGTCTGATGCAGTCGCATCCGGAAACCGCCGAGCAAACGTACGCCAAGCAAAAAGAGATCAACGAGGAATGGACCCAACTCACAGCTAAAGCCAATAGCAGAAAAGAGAAACTTCTGGATTCTTATGATTTGCAACGGTTTCTAAGTGATTACCGCGATTTGATGGCCTGGATCAACTCGATGATGGGTCTGGTCGCTTCCGAGGAACTCGCGTCCGACGTCACCGGCGCCGAAGCGTTGCTCGAACGTCATCAGGTAAAATCACTTTATCTCATGACACGAATAAAAAAAAAAAAACAATCATCTGGCAAAACGTTCACTTCGTCATTTAAATTATAGAATTACAGAGCAGAGATAGATGCGCGATACGGCGTACTTCCAGAGGTATAAGAACGTTTGAGCATGCATTATAAGGAAGTCGCGACCATGTCGGCGAGAATGTCTAAAAACTTTAATATCGCATAGTTTATATAATTTTGTAATTATATTAATATTGCATATAGTTTATTTCATTGAGGTGACTTTTTTTTTTCTTTCTTATACTGAGAGACAACTGACACTTTTTTTTAGTATTTTCAATGCTTTTCGCGCCCAATTACTGCCTTTCTGCTTGTGCGCCCAATTACTGCCCGAATGGATTTTGATCGTAACAAACAGGGTTGTGTATTGGCACACAGAGATCCGACAACTGAATCGTGTTTTCTCAATTTATAAAATTATCCTTTGCTTTTTTTTATAGGAGCATCGAATGGAGATAGATGCCAGAGCAGGTACTTTCCAGGCGTTCGAATTGTTCGGCCAACAATTGCTGCAATCTAGCCACTACGCAAGCGTCGAGATACTGGAGAAACTCGAGTCTATGGCTGAGGCGCGACAAGAACTGGAGAAGGCTTGGATTCAACGACGCATGCAGCTCGATCAGAATCTCGAACTGCAACTGTTCTGCAGGGATTGCGAGCAAGCTGAGAATTGGATGAGCGCGCGAGAGGCTTTTCTCAGCAGCGCGGACGCGGTGGACAGTAGCGACAACGTCGAGGCGCTTATCAAGAAACACGAAGATTTCGACAAAGCGATCAACGCTCACGAGGAGAAAATCGCTACTTTACAAACTCTGGCCGATCAACTTATTGCTGCCGAGCATTACGCCTCCAAACCTATTGACGAGAGACGGTGCCAGGTGTTAGATCGCTGGCGACACTTGAAGGACGCTCTCATTGAGAAACGTTCGAAACTGGGCGAATCTCAGACGTTGCAGCAGTTCTCTCGCGATGCCGACGAGATGGAAAATTGGATCGCGGAGAAACTTCAACTGGCAACCGAGGAAAATTACAAGGATCCCGCTAATATACAATCGAAGCATCAGAAACATCAGGCGTTCGAGGCCGAATTAGCGGCCAATGCTGATCGAATTCAATCGGTACTCGCTATGGGAGGTAACTTGATCGAGAAGCACCAATGTGCCGGATCGGAGGATGCCGTTCAGAAGAGATTAGCATCGATCGCCGATCAGTGGGAATATCTCACGCAAAAGACCACGGAGAAGTCTATGAAATTGAAGGAAGCCAATAAGCAGCGAACTTATATCGCTGCCGTGAAGGATCTCGATTTCTGGCTCGGAGAAGTCGAGAGTTTGCTTACGTCCGAAGATGCTGGCAAAGATTTGGCCTCGGTGCAGAATCTCATGAAGAAACATCAGCTCGTCGAAGCTGACATACAGGCGCACGAGGAGAGAATCAAGGATATGAATGCGCAAGCCGATTCGTTGATCGAGAGCGGTCAATTTGATGCCGCTGGTATTCAGGAGAAACGACAGAGCATAAACGAGCGTTACGAGCGAATTCGAAACTTGGCGGCGCACAGACAGGCTAGGCTCAACGAAGCCAACACCTTGCATCAGTTCTTCCGCGACATCGCCGACGAGGAATCGTGGATCAAGGAGAAGAAGCTTCTTGTCGGATCGGACGATTACGGACGCGATCTTACGGGCGTGCAAAACTTGAAAAAGAAACACAAGAGATTGGAAGCCGAACTCGGTAGTCACGAACCCGCCATACAAGCTGTTCAGGAAGCGGGAGAGAAATTGATGGACGTCTCCAATCTGGGAGTGCCTGAAATCGAGCAGCGTCTGAAACTTCTCAATCAGGCTTGGGCCGAACTCAAACAGCTTGCTGCCACCAGAGGACAGAAATTGGACGAATCTTTAACGTATCAGCAGTTCCTAGCCAAAGTCGAGGAAGAAGAAGCGTGGATCACGGAGAAGCAACAGTTACTTTCCGTGGAAGACTACGGCGATACGATGGCTGCCGTTCAGGGTCTTTTGAAGAAGCACGACGCGTTTGAAACAGATTTTGCGGCTCACGGTGAACGTTGCAAGGACATATGCGACGCCGGCGAGTCGTTGATCGAGGCTGGCAATCATCGAGCGGACGCTATTGCTCAGAGATGCGCTCAATTGCGCAACAAACTTGAACAACTCGGAGCTCTCGCGGCTCGCAGAAAGACGCGTCTGAATGACAACTCGGCGTACTTGCAATTCATGTGGAAGGCCGACGTAGTCGAGTCATGGATCGCCGACAAGGAGACTCACGTGCGTTCCGAAGAGTTTGGTCGAGATTTGTCCACCGTGCAGACATTACTCACGAAACAAGAGACATTCGACGCTGGTCTTCACGCGTTCGAGCACGAGGGTATACAAAACATCACTTTGCTGAAGGAGATGCTCGTGAACGCGGGTCACGATCAAACCCCAAGTATTCAGAAACGTCACGCCGACGTTATCGCTCGCTGGCAGAAACTCCTGGCCGATTCCGATTCGAGGAAACAACGTTTGTTGAGAATGCAGGATCAATTCAGACAGATCGAGGAGCTCTATCTGACGTTCGCGAAGAAGGCTTCCGCTTTCAATTCTTGGTTCGAAAACGCGGAAGAAGATCTTACGGATCCGGTTCGTTGCAACAGCATCGAAGAGATTCGAGCTCTTCGGGAGGCGCACGCGCAATTCCAAGCAAGCTTGTCCTCGGCCGAGGCTGACTTCCAAGCACTGGCCGCTTTGGACAGACAGATCAAGAGCTTCAATGTTGGACCCAATCCGTACACGTGGTTTACGATGGAAGCGTTGGAAGATACTTGGCGTAATCTGCAGAAGATAATTAAGGAACGTGACGTTGAACTTTCGAAGGAAGCGCAACGGCAAGAAGAGAACGACAAATTACGTAAAGAATTCGCCAAGCACGCTAATTCTTTCCATCAGTGGCTAGCGGAAACAAGGTTTGATTTTTTTGTAAAATGATCTATTTAATTATTTAATTTGAGAAATATATAAATTTTATTTCTTCCTTACAGAACATCTATGATGGAAGGATCTGGATCTTTAGAACAGCAACTAGAGGCTACCAAGGTTTGTCCATTTAAAAATACGTTCTTGTTATTTCCAGAAACAACTCGAACGATATTATGTACATATTATATATTTACATGTAAATTTACAGCGCAAGACTCAAGAAGTGCGCGCACGTCGTCAAGACTTGAAGAAGATCGAAGATCTGGGAGCTATTTTAGAGGAACATCTGATTCTGGACAATCGTTACACGGAACACAGTACTGTGGGACTGGCACAACAATGGGATCAGTTGGATCAGCTGGGAATGCGTATGCAGCACAATTTGGAGCAGCAGATTCAAGCTCGAAACCAGTCCGGTGTGTCTGAAGACGCGCTCAAAGAATTCTCCATGATGTTCAAACACTTCGACAAGGACAAGAGCGGTCGTCTTAATCATCAAGAATTTAAATCGTGCTTGAGAGCTTTGGGTTATGACTTACCTATGATGGAAGAGGGACAACCTGATCCAGAATTCGAAAACATATTAGGTTTTTATTGTCTTTTTATTTTGTCATTAAAAAATTCTTGTTGTTAACAGTTTTGTAATTTATTTATTTATAGACAATCTGTATATAATACGATTATAATATCTCTTTAATATTACTCGCAGATATCGTGGATCCTAATAGAGATGGATACGTATCGCTGCAAGAGTATATGGCGTTTATGATCAGCAAGGAAACTGAAAATGTGCAAAGCTCAGAAGAGATAGAAAACGCTTTCCGAGCGATTACAGCAGCAGATCGACCATATGTCACTAAAGAGGAATTATACGCTGTAAGTATATATATATAATCACAGACTGTCTCTATGGACAGAAAAAGTGCAATTTACATTCATTAATTTTTTTTTTTTTTTCAGAACCTCACGAAAGAGATGGCCGATTATTGCGTCGCTCGTATGAAGCCTTACGTGGATCCGAAATCGGAACGACCGATAACGGGAGCGTTAGACTACATAGAATTTACGCACACCCTTTTCCAAAATTAATTATGCACTTATTACACACGTATATGCGTATTATGGTATTTTTTTCACGCTTAATTTATTAAAAAAAAAAAAAAAAAATAGCAGCTATCATTTTTTCTTGAAATAAAAAAAATGCTTGATTATTTCTCTATATTAATATATGTAATATTCTACAATACACGTAGAAAGAGATTGCAATTTAATATAAAAATATTTAACTAAATTCTCTCACGTAATTAAAATAGTATAAAATGAAACCACGTAATAGATCGTTGGGGTGAATATATTGTTAGCAATAAATAATCAACTGCAATAATATATATTATTGAACGTTTCGATCATTATCAATATTAAAAAAAAAAAAAAAAAAAAAAAAAAAAAAAAAAAAATGTGAAGAATAATGTTGTGATTGTTAATCTTTAAAACTTTAAATATATCTATAATGTGTTGCACCGGAAATAATAGACATATTTCAGAAAGAAATTTACGCATAGATATATATATATATATATATTATTTGTATTTTATTGAGCAATATGATTTACAGCCATCTGAGATTTTTCTTGAATTATCTCCTCGGCACGATATACTTTCCAAGTAATCAGCCAATCTCTACCAACTTTGAACAAAGGATAATAATTTATAACCAATGATATCGTCAGCGACAGCACTTGGTACCATTCGTACGTGCAAAAGAGAATCACTAGTTGAAAAAATACTACCAATCCTTGCACTATCAACACCACGCGTAACATCCGCGCCGGATTGTGAAAGAAAACCTGAGGAAAAATACGCAACGCACGATATATTATAGTTTTTTCGTTTTAGTAAGAAATCTAATTTCTTTCTTTTTTTTTACTAGCCGTAAAATGCGATTACGTACATGGAATCTAATATGATTTTGATTACCCGGTTCCGCTGCTGTACACAGACCTTCGGAACGATAAAGCTCTCGATTGTATCTAACGATCGATCCGTGCGGCCACAATACCGTGTCGTTCCATTGTTGAGCGCATATGTGATTGTGACGGTTTTCTATTACAACCCATCGTCCTAGATGCATCGCCGCCCTATGTAGCACATCGCAGTATCTAAAAATTAAAAAATAAATAATTACATTTTATTTCCACACAATAGCATAGAAATTTTTATAAAAATATTTTTATCACATGAGAAGAGGAAAAAATTTCTAATTTACCTAATAGGATAAGTCTGAGCCAGATAAGCGGTTAATCTTCCGATCCAGAAAAAGAACACATGTTGCGTGACCCATAAGAAACTGTAATGCAAATGAGGTGGCGCAAAGATGATCGGTCCTACGCTGCAAACATACGCGCTGGCGGAGGGCAAGAAAACAGCCTGCTTTAATCGTTGATTAAAGTCGGATCTCAAAGTCGACACTTCCGCTCTGATGGCCGATGCGTTTAATGAGCAATTGTGCAAAGGTTTGTCTGTCGTATCAAAGTAAAATGACAATACACATTAATTAAATTTTTTTTTTTTTATTAGTCCAGCCTTTTTTTTTTACACAAAACAAGAGTTAACGATTCTTACCCATCAAGTATTTTTGTTTTCGTTCTTCCTTTTCGCACGACTCGGAACAATCGGAAAAAGGTGATACAATAACAAAGTACATTATTAAACTTCTGAAACAAATTTTACTTCATAAGCAATACTTCTTCCACATGCTCACGCGTACAGGGTAAAAGGCAATATACATACGGATAACATAAATAAAAGATCTTTAATAAATCATGCCTGTGGGCCATGTGACAAACGCACCAAGAAAGTATGCTTATTTCAATAAAAAACAGTACTACCCTGTAAAAGGTAAATTTATACAAATCATTAAAATCTTTCACTGATACAAATATTTACTCAAACTCCAAGTTATTCTACTGCGAACTAAGTAAACATATATATATGTACAATACCTCATAGTCATCCTAGTTGCACGTGACCATCGGTATGATAATGAAACATCAATGACATGATACACCAATGTGTTAACAAAACTACGTGCTATTATTGTAAAAATAAATACGAGCAGATAAGGATCTATTAAGTAGAAGTTCTGAAACACAACAAAATCACACATAATTTTGAAGTTTTCTCTCTCTCTCAAAAAAAAAAAGTAGGTATATAACAATGTGTACATATTTGGAAATGTCCTACCATGCTATATCCAGTATAGGAGTACGGCAACCACCATACTGTTCTGTACAGATTAAGCAACTGCAGACAAGCCGAGACAACAAAAATGACCAAGGACAAAGCCTCGAACGCTAATTGCCCGTCGACCGGAACCACGGGCATGGGAACGTGTTTTGGCGCGAGTGATTTTCCACCGTAACCGACGTCGTCGATTCGTTTGTCGTCCGCAACACTTCCAACTGTCTCTCCGCTGTTACTTCGTCCGGTAACGGAGCTGTAAGTACCGCCAGATTTGCCAGCCGGTCCGTACCGGCTCGCGTTTCGCCTTCCGGGAGGCATGTTCTTACAGGTTCATTGTATGCCCGTACACCTTTTCAGGTTCAAAGATGTATCCTTCAGTAAAGGACAAGTCTCTTCTCTAAACGTAAAAAAAATTTCTCCAACATTAATTACATCACAGCAACTAAGAACACACGTGGAAGAACAGATGTGTTTCCACCAAACTTGATTTCACGTAGGACACTACCGATTTACTTTGTTTTGTAAACAAGTTTACGGATCTTTTATCAGAATCGATCAGATGATTGGTATACAACATGCGCACGCAGTCGCAACCTGCGTCAATGTCTGCGCAAGCTCGACGGCCTTGACTCAACAACACCTTAACCCGCTGCTGCTGACGAGTCTTCCTTGTGATTAGTTAATTAGTATATATATATATATACAGCAATAAAATTCACGTACGTATTTAATTTATTCCAAATATGTGTATATATATTTTGCTACAACATATTATTATTAATTTAATACATTTGAGGAGGTAGTCTTCTTCTTAACCTGAATAACCAACGGTTCAATGCTCCATTCACGGTGACAAGCAACAATTCAAACGTTTTTTTAGACCGCACGAAAAAATGGATGCAAAAATGGATTGGATGTACAAAGGAAACCAGACGGTAAACAGAGAGGAGTATTTATTGGGAAGACCGGTCGACAAGGCCTTTGAACAGATGCAACAGGCGGAGAAGGAAACGGAGCAAAACAGAGTACCAAAAAATCACGTTGAATATGGTAAAGTAAAAAAACATTATTGTGAAAAAACAAAAGAATTATGAGATAAGAAAACAGAAATGTTTTTTTTCACAACTCTCTATGATCGTGTTTGTAATTAGAATGCATTCCACCGTCGCTGCGATTTTTCTCCGGCAACGAACAAGTGGATCTGGCTAGAAAAATGCAAGAGGATCCGTTGTATGCCATAAAGAAGAAAGAGATAGAAACTAGAAACCAGCTTTTAAAGAATCCTGTTAAGTTGAAACAAATCAGAGAATTGGTAAGTCATTGGTGTTGATTGGCTTTGTTTTTTTTTTATTTTGCATAGTGTGTGTTAAATAATTTTTATTTGCACACATGTGTGTCATTTTAGCTCGAGGAGCAATCCAAGAAGAGCAAACACAAAAAGAAAAAGAAAAAATCTAAAAAACTTAGCAGCGAAGATGAAGCTAAGTTGGACATGTTACTAGCCACCAAGTATAATCAATTAAGAAATAACGTTACCGAAAAAAATTTGTTGAAATCAATAAAAAGAATAAGACAAAAGCAAAAGAAAAAGTCCAGAAAACGTAGCCGCAGTTCTGAAAGCGAATCGGACAGCACGGACAATGATGTCTCTGCTAAAGAAGAGCGACATAAACGACGAAAGAAACGAAGAAAAAGTGTGACTGGCAGTGATGACAGTGACAGCGATAGTAGCAACGAAAGTAGCGTTAAAATTAAAAAGAAAACTAATGACAAAAAACCAAGTGAACGCGTCGAAAAGATAGACGACAATAAGAGAGAAGATAGAAGAAGACAATCGAGCAAGAATAGAGACACGGAAAAGGAGAGAGGCAGAAGATACAGAGAAGAATATAATGGACGCTATAGACAAAGGTATAGGGACGATGGTCGCAAAGACGATCGAGTGAACAGATATAATGACGAAAGAAGATATTTAAAAAAACGAAGTGATAGAACAGTAAGCACACAAATCTTTTTAAGAAAACTTCTTCGATCTTTTTCGATCTGTTTCAGATTTTTGAAATTACAAGATTTGATAATTGTTTTAGATTCCTGACAGAGAAAGAACACCGCATGCTAGATCTAGTTGTAACACCGACGATGTGAAATTCAAAGAAGCCAGAAGAGAAGAAAAACACAGATCGAAAACAAAACTCACCGAGGAAGAGAGAGAAAAACGATTGCGAGATATGATGGAGAACGCGGCGTGGCGCGATAAAGAAAGAGAGAAAAATGTAAAATTGTACCGCGAAGCCGAACAAAAGGAGGATGAGGATAGTAAATTGTACAACAAGGATTTTATCAGGTATATAAATCGGTTATAGAAATAGAAATTCACTTAAAAAACGAATTTATATATATATATATATATTTTTTTTAATTTGCAGTATAAGAGTGTAAACGTAAATTTGAGCGTTATCTGATTAAAATCTGATGTTTCAGAAAACAACTGGTTGTTGCAACAGAAATGAGCACTGTCGCTTCTAGAATCAAGTCCAATATTAATAACATACAACGTTCCGGTCGAGCAATGGACACGAATTTTGCTAAGAGATGACTTTCATGCTAATTACGTATGTCTCATACAAATTACAGAACGAGAAATTTTTTTTTATATTGCGAGAATAAAATTCTGTACGTATATATATATATATATTGAATAAATATATATATATATATATATATATATGAATAAATGTGTATATATATATATATATATATATGTATATATATATATACATTTTCTACAAACTTATGTACATATCGCGATAAACAATTATGGCGAGATGTATTTACACATGTCTACATATAAATTTCTTTTTACTAACACGAATTAATTTCTCAAATTTAAAAAATATTTTCAAGGACTCGTGTTACGTAATTTTACACATTTCTCGATGCGATTCGTCGATGATGTCGTTGGTATCAACGATGGTGGTTACGCAACCGCCAGTGAGGACGTTGTTGACCACAGCTCTGGCGAAGTATCCCGTGGTTATGGAGTAATTTGCGGAGAAGAAGGACGATTTGTCGTCTACATTAGACAAATTGTGATCCTACGGATATATAAAAATTGTTTAGGCACACGCACAACAAACAAGAATGTAAAAATGTCACGCATGCGTGTTATTACCTTGCAGTACATGACAAAGCTATCTTCCACGAGTCGATTAACGTCCAGTTGTTTCTGGAAATTTAATTCCGGATTTCGAAGCAAGATTGTTGATATGATACTCAAGAGCTGTAATCACACAAAGATCGCACAACATCTTATTGAAATATTTTATTGCGATAAACAAACGAGACAACGCTTAAATTATTAATGTTACCTCGACCACAAGTTGACGATATTCCGGCAACTCTATGCGATGTAGCATAGACTCCACGAGCAGGGCAAACGTGAGCTCGGAACGAGTCATACTGGAGACCGTAGGTTGTTGAGGCAATTCGCGTCCGTTCACCACAACGCCACCGGGGCAACGTACCAGAACTTCCCATACTTGATTGTAGAAATGTGCGGGCACTCGGCACAAGCAACCCTCGAGTTTTCGACGACCGAGTATCGTCAGACTATCGGCGACATGACAAGTAATAGTTAATCGAATCTATTCAATTTGTGTGTATTGTATCACAAAATAAATTTAATTTCATTAATTAAACACACACTTTTCTGCGTGAGCCCATTCCTTGACAGTAAGTATTTTGATAAGAAACTGTCGGACTTCGTAAGGACTGTAATTCTCTATCGGTTTGGCATCTTTCACGAACATCTGCAGGTAGAGTTTTATAGCTTCCAAAACCCAACTGAAAACAAATGTTCAAATAACAAATTGAGTTTTCACTGTGACAGGTGATTTAAGTAGGACAGAGAGACTGGTAACATCTTACCCGATACGTATTTTTAATATGCCTTTGAACATTTCCGGATTGGTGCCGATAAGTCTGCCGCAATAAAGCAGAACCTCTTGTTGAAGCACGGCCTGCACCGTGTTGTGCGGCTGTATCGTTGAGTACATCACTGACTGGATTTCCGCCGGCGTCATTGGTTTGTCAAACACCGTTTCTTCCTGTCCAATAACTCCGACCGCGATCTAACGCGTTTAGACAATTGGTACAGGTGATACACAAGGTAAAGTTTAAACTTTAACTCAATGTTTGCGTGTTGTCAACAAATACCTGTTTTCCCTTGACCAGTACACCCGTGATAAAAGGACTGATGCTGTCCACCGTGTGATTCAACAGACTGCTGCAATAACGCACAACTATCCAGAATCTCAGAGATCCAGCTTGTTGATACAACGATCGCAAATTATCCCGAACTTGAAACAAAATCGCAATTAGATGTTCAAAAATTTCAAATTTGTTGAAAATGTTGAAGATATGCAAACGAAATACCTGTCATTCCATTAATTTCATAATTAATTCCTTCTCGTTTCATTAGGATGCCGTACAATTGACATTTAGCGTACAAACCAACGCTATTGCGAAGTTCGTTCAATATGTTGCCCAAAGATTCGTTCATCATGTGCTAAAAAAATAAGTTATATTGATTGCCGATATATGCAGACACTTTGTTTTTACATCTTCATCTATGATTTTTAAACGCAATTACGCAATGTACTCAATTTACAGAATAATCCTTGACGTCTTCGTTGTAAGCGATGGATTTGGGAACATCCGTGAGACTTTGGTAGCCGATGTAATCGTGCCGCAGTTGTTTGAACTGCGTCAAGTCCAAATCGGTTTCCATAATATTCACAAAGTCCAAGTGTTCTGCGCAACAATCACGTATAAGCGCGCGAAAACACGATGATTTTGATGTATAAAATTCTTCAAATATCACAAATTTATATCGTACCGATGCAAGAGGACGAGATCAGATTTTGCAGCCGACCTATGCGCACTTTGGTTTTGTCGCAGTAGCCTTTCTTCAACATCGCGAAGAGGTCTAACATTTCTTTGAATTGAGGATCTCTAGTTCAACAAAGGTTTCGTAAGAAGACACAAGTTTAATTTGCGCATTCGCGATATAATCCGAAACAAACTAACTTACCTCATGTGTTCCTCGCGTATCAAGAGACACACGGTGGGTCGACCGCTCAGACGCCAATACTTGCCGACGAATTGTAGCTCCGTCTTAATATCGTCGATCAGAAGAGCCATGTCTCTGTACAAATAAAATTCGGACACCTCGAAGATCAGAGGGTAACAGAGCACCGTCATGCCGCAGACTCTGTACACCTGTGCAAAAAAATTTTTTTTCAAAAGAAACACATCATCACACACACATACACACACACACTGTGATTCGCTTAGGAGAATGTTTTTGTCACAGAAAGAAACTTAAATCGCTATATCGATTGTACGTATCTACCTTGCTCGTACCCAGAGAACCTATAGGTCGCGCGGGTCGGCCTTGGAGGTTCAGCTTCTTGTTTACTCCCAATTTTTGATAAACCTTCACCAATTGGGTGGACGATAGAATCTGTACGGGCTCGACTTCGTGCGGCGTCTGCGTCTGAATGCCGTACGTGGCCATCATCGCTTGCAATCGCATTGATTCTGCGATCAGAACTATTTGTACTACTAGGTCGGTGTGAGTGCCCTGGTGTACAAAAAAGTATCAGCGGTGCTCAATCATATGAATGAGAGAGAGAGAAAGAGAGAGAGAGAGTCGTGGGAAACTTTCAAATTATGCAAAAGATAGGCACACGCATACCCAACCAATTGTGTGAAAAATGTTTAGCCAGCATTTGCGACTTTATAAATAACAAACTTGCAAAATAAAAGCCAAACTTCGCAAACAAGGAGCAAAATAATCCATGCACAATCGACCGCTCCCTTCGGAAATATAAAATATCAAACAACAATTCAAAGAGTTCGTAACAGCATATTCACAAAAATTCTCTTCCGGTCTTCTCGGAGGAAAACAATTTTGAAAAAAAAATATATATACAACGCATACGTACTACGCTACATATCGGGCATATAATTTTGAATTACTTACAATGCTGGGTTTCGCCTGCGCGTGAAACATAACATAAAAAACTTGTTAACTTCGGATTGCAAAATTTTTTCATTATACTGTCTTCGAGCACGCAATTGTGGTGGAAAAAAAAATAAATAAATATTTTCTATTTTATTTTACCTGAAAAGCGGAATATCTGCCCGCTCGTCTCGGACGATTGTACGACGGCAAATATCGACGAATCGGATCTAATTCGTTAATGTGCAAAAGACTGGCGGTAAGCAACTGTGCGATCACGAACATGGCTTGATTCCACAAATACATCGGCAATGAATCTTGATCCGCGGATCTTAAGCCTCTTCCTTCCTCACTTGGTTGTCGATAAGCGCTGCACGGCTCGTTTCTTTCAGTATCCAAATTTTCCATAGGCACATAATAGTACATGGGAATCACCGGATCTATAGAATGTATATGCAAAATAAATTATTATTACACAATTATCTCTCTCCGAGATTTTAGAAATATGATACGCACCTCCGTTTATATCCTTGTGTACTCTTGCCTTTAATAAACTCTGATACTCCTCCACCTGCTCAGGAAGACTCTTGAATACGCCGTCTATTATCATAAAAATATAAAAGAGCGGCCATTCGCTTTCGATGTTGTCGAAGTCCTATCGAAGAAAAATTGAAAAAAAATTGGTGATAAATAGAGATTACTCTCAGGCTCTATGAGTCTTTTAAACTAATAATATATGAATATAAGGACATGAAGAGCCGTTCGCAGGATGTTGTGCGTAAATGTGAGAATATATATATATATATATACAATACATATATTATTATTATATAATAATATTATATAATATTATATAATAATACTATTAATAATATATGTATTGTATATATATACATATACAATAATGTATTGTATATATATATATGTATTCACGTGTAATATTTTTCACGTGAGTTTTTTTGAAATTGAAATAACCATTCTTTAAATCAAATATGATGCTAATATTGCATCTTATATATATGCAGGGTCCCCGATAGCTTATATTCATATATTATTAGTTTGAAAAAAATTGATTACAAATTTAAAAAAGCGTTCGCATGTGGAAATAACGACGCAATTCGATAGTTTCTCTATAAAAAAAAACAAATCGACAACGAGATTAGATTTTCAGACCTTGATTTCTCCGGGTCTGTAGTAACGACGTTCTTTATCCTCCAGCACCGTTTTATAACCGTCTCTTCCAAATCGTTTGAATCCGTAATTGCCCTTAAGTCTGCGGACCACGTTCGCTTTTGTTTCGTTGTACAGCACATCTTCGTGAGTCGCGAACGCGGGAAATGATATCGTCGGCAACAGAGCCGCGTCCACGCTCTGAAGATCATACACACATATATACGTCTCTCTCTTAGTTAGTTTATTTGAGGATTGATCGAGAGATCGAACTTACTTTCGAACTGGATTCTCTCGGTAACATCGTCTCGAAGATACTGCGATTACGATTGTGAGCGTCGATGTCGACGTATATCACGGACCAGGACGCGCCTTTCTCTCCGAACAAATTACAACCGTTTATCGCCTCCAGAGCGCTCTTGGCTATTCCGATAGAACTGGCGTGAATTTCCGGCGTACCGTCGTTGTAACGACTACCACGTTCCCACATACCGTAATCCGGTGTTCGGTAAGCTCTCTCAACATAGTACACCAGATTTTGCACAAAAGCTACCTCGTCCTGAGTATATATGATTTGTAGCCCGGAGGAAATCATTTGCACTAAGAATATCAAGTAAAGAGATACAACGTCGATCTACAGTGGGGGATTAAAAATAATTAAAGCTTGTAATTACCTCGCGTACAACAAAGACAAGAAAAAATTCAACTCTCCAGATGTACAAAAAAAAAAAAAAAACCCAAAAACTATTGCCATTGAACGCTCACTTGCAAGTGATGGTAATCGGCATCCTTGTAGACCTCATCCCCGGTGTCCAGATGAAACTTGCAATGCAGAGCGTAACGATCGCATTGATTTTTCTTAAAGAGCTCAACTCTGGACGCCTGCTTCATCCAGCACTCCAATATACCGCGCATACACTTTATCGCGGACTGTCCGAGCTCGTACGACTTTCCGCGATCGTCGTCAATACGTCTGTAGGCTTGATACAAACTCCATATCGCGGCAGCGCAGTAGATGCTCTCGCGCACACTGCCGATCTTCTTATCCGTGGATATCTGCGGGAACAAACCCGTGATGCAACTCTGATAACGCAACAGTTGTCTCTTGACGATTCCGTAGTATATGTCCAGCTGTTTGACAGTGTCCTCGTAGTTGGATATTTTGAGAAACATGTCGGCGTCTATATCTATCACGCTGCCATGTCGCATATTTCTGATGTGCGAGATTCTGTATGGCATATAAAATAAACAACAAGAGACATTTTTGTTCAAAGACACACAACCTGGCGACTTCTTTCAAAAACAATTATTTATATTTTAAAAGACAATTTACCTCTTTACATTCGGCGGTGATGACAACAAAGTGGCCATTGTAAATTAATAAATATTATATTCTCCCTTGTTTCAAGCCTTGTTTCAAGTTGAGTAATAATATCTATGCAAACACACAGTATTTTTGTGTATACACTTATAGATCTCCACGCACTCTCTTTGTACGCACACATGCACACCTTCTCTCTCACTCTCTCAGCACATACGTGTTGTATTATTGCAAACAAAAATATATTCTCTTGTTTTATACGGACAAATAATTCATTTTTTAAACGTACATTGTTTAAGAGCCTCTCTAAATTGTACTTTTGTTTTTATTTAAAAAAATAATACGACGAAACCAACAGACACGCGCAATTTTAAAGATCACCTTGGATCAGCTGATCACCTCAACTCATCAGCCGGGCTCAGCTGATCATGTGATCCCCATTTGCTATGTATATTATGGCGGAAGAAGCATATTATATTATCGACCAATCAGGTTAATGCTGCTGTTACGATTAACCAATGAGAACTCGACTCGATCTAAAAATAAACGTAGCATGCGCACTGGTTGAATTGCGTATGAACGTTTACGTTAGCGAAGAGAGAGAAAAATATTATCTAATATATATATTTTTCTATCACACACACACACACACACGCAAATATATATATAAAAGTTATTGGATCTGTGTTGTCGTGCGCGTATCTCGACACAGTTGTTACACGGCATAGAAGAGTCGTGACGTGACGTTTGAGACGATGGCAGGGTTGCTTCGCACGAGTTTGCAAAGTCTGCGCAGATTAAATACGCTGACAACCAAGGAGATGACAATACGTCGCGGGTTAGCGACGACACCGAGATACAATAGCGAAGGAAACACCCAGGGAACACAGGGAACCAACAAAAAAAGGAAGTGGGTGAGCTATGGCTTCGACAAAACGGACGAAGCGCTGGATCGTCATTCCATGCATCAGATCTTTTTCGTCGCCATAACGTTAGTTATGGTGCTCGGAGGCACCATCATGGCATACGCGCCTGATCCCGCAGGCAAGGACTGGTCGCAGCGAGAAGCATACCTGAGGCTGCGCTACAGAGAGGAGAATGGACTTCCTCTCATTGATCCCAATCTCATCGATCCCGCTAAAATAACGCTGCCAAGCGACGAAGAGCTGGGTGACACAGAGATCATTATTTAAGGAGCTTCTCGATCACATCTCTTCTTGAACCCCAACGCTTCAAGCCGCATCAGTACTGCCCATATGTATCTCAGCATACACTTAGTACTTGTTACAATTGAGAGGAATATGTAATAAACAAAATGTTTTTCTTGGTGAAAAAAAACATCGGCTGCCTTCATTCGACACAGTCAAACCAAAGATTGTACGAGCTACTCATTTATCGTGGTAAAAAAAAAAAAATGCTTTGAACATAGAAGTCACATTACGCACCAATATGTATTGCATATCTTTTGATAAACATATTCAACTGTTACTTATATGTAATACATATATATATATATATATATAGAAATAACATATGTAGAATATATGTAAAATAAATATCAACAAATTATCTCAATCCTTTATATTGCAATATATAATTAGAGAATCTTGTGATTATATTATTTGTATATACAATATTATATTACTATATATAGCATTTTAATTAGATTACATATGCATATTAAAAAATTTGTCTATAAGTTTTTTTTTCTTTTTTTTTTTTTTTCGATACTCTTAAAGAAAAAAATTTTATCAATCAAATATAAAAAAAAAAAACAAGCCTTGTTGTTGCACGAGATCTTAAAACGGACGAGATAACCGACAAAATGGAATTCAATTTTACCGGCGTGTTTTAAGAGTGCATTTTATTAAAGTGAAAATCACATATATATTTCCTAGTTACGTCGACTCTTTTGTTGCGACGCGTTTCAACAGAAAACCACACTGAGCGAGAGATGATGACAGTTTTCGTTATGCATTTTAATATAACGAAGGATATTAATTTAATTGTACATATCAGTACATACATATATATATATATATGTGTGTGTGTGTGCACATCGATTTCTGCGCGACATACATACAGACAGATCTTGCAAATACATACATTAAGCTTTGAGGCCTATATGTATGTATATGTATATATATATGTATATACGCGCGTATATATTTTTAAATACACATGAATAAAAACTACTCTTCACGTGTACGTATCACATCGACGCGGCAAAAGGTTTAGTGATTGTGGTCTCGTTATTGCATAGGCGCCGACGTTGTTAACGTTGTTGGAGCAACAGTGGTGGTGTTGATACTGAATGGCGATTGGTTTTGTTGTTGAAAAACAGGTGAATAGAAGGGAGCGTTCTGGGGAAGAGCGGCGCTAACTGTGATAGGTGGCATTCCTGGCAGTGAGATAGGCGTTGTCACAACATGAGGCTGAGATACGTTAAAACCAGTAGCCACGGTCGCGCTATAGGTAGGATTGTGTTCTCTCTGTTGTCCCACAACGTTGATCGTAACCGCGTCTTGAAGAGGACTCTGCTGTCCTGGAATATTGATAGGTCCGGAGGACGTTGTCACTGACATAGTGTCGTAAGGGTTCGTCACGCCTGGTGGTAATACTGAAGTAATTGGCATACCGGGAATGCTTGGAGTTGCTTGATAAGTATCTAAATAAAAGATAAAATATACATTAGTGCTTAAAAAAATTAGAAAGTTTTAATGTTACTACATTGTTAAAGAAATACATAACGGTTTGACCGATACTTACCGAGTGTGGGTTGAAAATTGACAGTAGGTTGATTCGAAAACATATGAGGAACCGAACTGGTAGGTGTGTAACCACCACTTGCGAAACTGACTTGAGTCGTTGTTTGCGTTTGCATACTCGGTCCGGATATATTTTGAGTTAACGGAGTTTCCTGCTCACGCTTTAGAACGCTTGTGGAATTATCCGCTACAGGAACGGTGTAATTCGACGGAATAGATACTCGGTATTGTGTGTTGCCACCTTGTGGCTGATTGATTTCTTCCGTCGTGGTGGTCGCGGGTGTCACTATTGTTGTTGTTGTTGTTGTTGCTTGAGTTTGCATAACAGTCTTCATGACATTCTAGAATAGAAATATACTCACGAGAGTTATATACAAAAAATACATATGATGTACGCAATATAATACCGTAAAGTAAAATAATATGTATTTTTACTTTAGATGAAGCAGAAGGTTTCTGCTCTGGTATACTTCTGACTGGTATTCTGTGCAGATATCCATATCCAATTCCACATCCTAAGCTGTAAAGTTGTTAAAAATAATTTAATGTTTGTTTTAATAGAGTTTGTTTTAATAAAGTTTTTGAAAGCTCTTTTTGTGAAAAAAAAAAACATACCTTCCTTCTCCACCCCAGGTTTTATTAGGTGTGATGGTTACTTCTCTGCATGAATCATCCTCAATGTTATATACATATAATTTGAGAGGTCGTAGTTCATGTGCCTCTATTAAGATAAAAAGATCTTCACTTTCATGTAGAATAGAATCTGCTCCAATTATATAATCGGTAAATGGCTGTAAACCTGCCAATTCTGCAGGAGATGACGGATGTACTTCCTGTTTTAATTTTAAATAAATATCACAGTGTATTTTAACAATATATTTTATGTAGAATTTCCGTGGAATCTATACTCACAAGCACGTGCCAGACATTTTCGTTGGCGCCCTCAAACGAACAGAAACGTATACTAACGCCCAATAAACCCTGTCCACCCCATGTCATACTCGGTATAATTTTTGTACGTCTTACAGACTGTGTTTTACTACTGTATACTGTGATTGTTAATTCCTTATTTACACCAGCCTTTAAAATTTCCTTTAACGTGTCATTATCTTGATCCTGAAGAGAAAGAAAATTGTATATAGCAATGCTCAAAATAAGAATATATAATATATTTAGCATGTAATAACAAATAAACATATACCAAACGAGTGTTTCCAATTGCTACAATAAAATCAAAAAATGCTTCAAGTCCTGCTTGCTGACCGGGTGAACCTTCCTGAACCTGCCAAAGAAAATTAAAAATTAACCTACAATTTATAACAATATCACAACTCTTTGTGCTTAGTTAAGATAGAAATCAAATTATTCAAACCACATAATAATTGATACAGTAGCGTGGTGGAAAATGTGTTTTACAAGTGTGTAAAATAAAAAAAATTGACAAGTACACATGACACTTTTTTGTCATCATGTGTCAACGTTTGCAAATAGGTCAGCTCCTTTTTCTCTCTGTCTCTCTCACACGCACGTACAGAGAGACAGAGAAAAGAAATATTATTCTATACAAATTTCGCGATATACAATTGCATTCTAGTTGTTATTACTGCGCCTTCCGACAATTGTGCGCAAAAACCGCTTCCCGAAATGGGATAATATTATAGAAACAATCCAGGCACAAATGACAGACCACCTTACCCGCAAAACATGATAGCCTTCGGTACCACCTCCTGGTATCTCCACGCTGTGAGACGATCCCATTTCTTCTTCGGAAAGTGTCCTAAGTTATCTGAGACGAACAAATAAAAGACATTAAATCGATTTTTTAATCGTCTTATTTTGCAGAATACTCGAACGACAAAAATACGTGGCACGCGTGTACAAATGCAAACTAATAGTGACGTCACACGACCCTATCGGCCTGACACACTCACATCTGCGTACACCAGATGTATGTGTACGCGGTACAACCGTATACATATACGTATATATAAAGTGCGTTCAGACAACTCTCAACGGTTGAGAGATCGTCACTTATGATAGGACTATTCTTCAAAATCTGCTAGCGGTTCCAAAAGTATGATCCAATCAGAAGTGATTATCTTTCAACCGTTGCGCAACTGTTGAGTTGTCCGAACGCACCCCTTCATTTGTACTTCCCCGGGTTGCTTGGGAGAAGCAACGCAACAGCCAATTGTTTTGCTGCTATTCTGTAAGAACGAGATGCTGATTGGCCGTCGCGTTGTTTCTCGCCAACTCTTATCTTCCGTGCGCGAAAGCACGTAAACTGGTTCGTCCGTTCAATCTTGGATTCTTCTTTTGCTCATGCGCAAAAATGTTGGCGGAGAGAGAGAGAGAGTTTCGCAACTACGTGATAACGTTGTAACCGTGACGGAAGTTCGTGAAAAAAAAAAAAAAAAATTGGAGAAATTGTTGGAAATGCAACATGTCGCACTTCTTTCGATCGAATTAAGCAGTCGCGCGTGATATATATTGTAATATAACCGTCGATAGTGTTCCGTGTCGTCATTCTCGCTTGCGACAATTTGCGAATTTCAACGAGAGCGTTGACGTCCCGTCGCGCGACTATGATGTCATTCCGGGAGTCGATGTCGAGCGTGCTGGACGTTTCGCCGTCTCGCGGACGAACATAACCCTGAGATAATAATGAGTCGTCGTCCAGTTTCAAAGACGATTGTCTAATCGCGAGCGAACTTGTTTGCGTTTCGAACGGAGATAATCGAGTGGATAGTGTTAAAAAAGTCAATATGGGACTGTTGTTCGCAAAATTGTGGAGCCTCTTTGGCAACGAAGGTAAACTTACCACCTCATGTTCACGTATTCCTTTCTCCGCTCTCTTTCTCTCTCTCTCGCTCTCGCTATCTACATTGTCTGTCCATTTCTCTCCTTCCCTTTCTACGTTGTATGTACATGAGAATGTTTGTACATACGGAAGAGTGAAATTACATACTGAAGTCTGAGAACATCAGCGTGATTCACCACGACAATTTAATTAAGCGTTGATTTGATATTGAGACTTGGTTGAAGACTTTTTTGAAATAAAAAAAAATTTACCGTAAAGATCAAAGCTGATCTAAACTGATGTTTTTTTCACACAATCATTATAAATATTTAAAATTTCCTTTAAGTAGTTTTTTTTTTATTTTTAATAGGAATTTTTTGACATTTTTCTAACAAAAAGTTATATAACTCAGTAAATTGAACCAGATTATTCTGTGTATTATATAAATTCTATACAAACACATAGTTGCCTACTTTCTATTTTGTTAACATATGCAATCTGTACTGACTTCTTTTAAGTCTTCTTATATTGTTATATTAGTGCAATATGTATTGATAATAAGATTTTTTTTTATTACTTAAGAATTTCTATCTGCTTATTAATATTAATATATTGATATAACCAAAATATTAGTACTTGAATATTATAGTACTTGAGATGATTTTCATTTTACAAATATAAGAAATTGTTATTTGAATTTTGTTACAGAACATAAAATAGTTATGGTTGGTCTGGATAATGCGGGAAAGACAACTATATTGTATCAGTTCCTGATGAACGAAGTTGTTCATACATCTCCTACAATTGGATCTAATGTGGAGGAAGTGGTGTGGAAAAATATTCATTTTATTATGTGGGATCTTGGCGGGCAACAGAGTTTAAGAGCTGCCTGGTCCACTTACTACACAAACACAGAATTTATCATTATGGTAATAGACAGTACGGATCGAGAAAGATTGGGCGTAATTAGGGAAGAATTGTATTCGATGTTGAATCACGAGGAATTAAGTAAAGCCAACGTTTTGGTCTATGCCAACAAGCAAGATTTGAAAGGTAGCATGACCGCTGCTGAGATTTCGAGGCAGTTGGATCTAACGTCTATAAAAAAACATCAGTGGCATATACAGAGTTGTTGCGCTCTTACAGGAGAAGGGTAAGGGGATGATTGCTATTAAACATTATTTGTTTTAGGACAATGAGTGATGAACGAACAACAGAGATAAAGAGTAAAAAAAAAATTTTTTTCAGGCTCTACCAAGGACTAGAGTGGATCGTCGGTCGTCTAAAAAAGACATGACGTACATTATGAGAATTGTTTATAAATATAAAGAGAAATATCCAAAATGTAAAATACATTAACATGATAAGCCATTTTAGCCACTCACTTTGATGGTTATGACGAAAGAACAAAGCAGCATAAACTGCAGCATTTTACTAGCTATTTAAGTCTCTCGTATGAACTGTAACCCTCAAAGTGAATCTTACATCCGTTAGACCGTTATAGTGAACACTTAATGGACGGTGGACGGGGAAATTTATTCATTAGCTGCTAAAATAAAACTCAGTGCAAACCAATATATTTCTCTACGTGCAATAAAAAGAAAGTGTAGTATTAATTGTGTTGTTCGCAATTTGTATTTTTTGATAGCATAAATACAAAATTCAAGTGAGATTAAGAGATAGAAGAATTGCATAGCAAAGATAATTGTTTTGATTGAAACATGTATATAAAATACAATTTAAATTTATATATATATATATATATACAAAATATACTTGTTTTGACTTGTTTGACTGTAAGTAAATAATCGTTAATCAATTACATCAAAGGTGTCATCAACTTTCATCCAAAAAGTCAGGTGCTTACGAATACAAATTTTAAAGTAAAAAACTTCTTATCCCGTCCACCTGTTCACGGTAAACAGACAATGAAAATAAACGAAGGTGGCAACTTGTTACTTGTATACTCCTAGGTTGACGTATAAGAGTGCAACAGAAATGTATCTGTGTACATAAATTTTTTATACTTCTCGTTAAGAAATCGAGATCTGTAAAAAACAAAAAACAAAAAAAAAAAAAGGGAAATGTTAAATGCTTATAAGTATAAAGCGAGAAAGCACAGAGTCTAGAACGTTTCTGTATGTGAAGATCCAAGTAGAGTCGGGGCAAGAGTTTGCAATCGAAACTTCTCAAAGCAGATTACGAATTACTCTGTGATACACGGATTTGATTCTGAGACAGTTGTTTGCTGTTTGAATTGCGTAAGATAAAATATTGATGAGAGGAAAAGCTGTGTTTCCATCAAACAACTGTCTCGTTTCAATTTTATTTCAATCGTAAATGTAAAACATTTTTAGCGTAAAATATTCCACTAGATATGTGAAATCAATTATAGCTTACATTAAAAAAAAAAAAAA